ACAACATTTGCCACAATTATTTTTCATGAATCACAATTGCATTCTTGAACCATTTCACTTCATTACTTGATTTTGAAAGAACAAGTCCCTAAGGATTCGACCTTGGATTATTTTCAAGTATTACTTGTGACCTTGTACTCTTGCACGTGTCTCTTATATTTTTAAGGTAGATAAAATCCCAATAAGTTCTTGGCATCGTTGCTGGAGACTTATTTTCAAGATGATTTTCTTTTTATGTGAAGTGTTTCATATTGTGATTGTGCAGACCTCTGTTATTTATATCATTTGTTATATCTAACCTCAAAAGGCAATCTTTTTTTTTGCACTAAGACTTTATTGCAGGATTCCCTAAGGAGGTTAAGGTGAGAACAAAGGTCAAGAAAACAAAAGGAAAAAAAAAGAGAAGGAAATGAAAAAGTAGGAGAGGTTACTTGTATTGGGCCAAAAGCTAGTAAGAGTAGTGTTTGAAATGGATGCGCAAATGATGTATAATCTAAACATGGGAAGTAACATGCCTATAGCTCCTGTTAATCAATATTGTTGTCTATGTTGTGGTGACAGTCGTCATTCATTTAAATATTGTCCATCTAATCCTTCATCTTTTTATTATCTAGGCCAGGAAGGGAACCAACAAGATTTCAACCCTCATTCAAGTCCATACAAGAAAGATTGGAGGGATCATTCGAATTTCTTGTGGGGAGAGCATCAACTTGAAAGTATCCATCCATATGAGTATGTATCAGAATTCCCAACACAGCCTCAATATGAGTACGAATAACCATGGATGCCAGAGCAAATACAATTGTAAAAAATTTCTAGCCTTGAAGAGATGATGCTAGATTATATGGCTAGAAAGGATAAAGCATTACACATGCTGCAGATCTAAATGGAGCAGATAGTCGATGAGTTGAGGAATAGTCCGCCAGAAGCATTGCCTAACAATATAAAAGAGCAAGGTGAGACAATCAATGCATGGAGTTGATAAAAGAACTATCTCAATTAAGCATGAGAACTCCCTTATACAAGGTGAACTCCCACAAAAATAATAAGAATAACCCCAATAACTAGATGATGAATCAACCCCAAGAAAGCTAAACAGATTTGTGCTTGGAAAAGATGATCAATGATCAAGAATAAAGGAGAACTTGTTCCTGTATTCAAGATTTTGAACTCTCCACAACCTAATTGATCAAACTAGATTGAAAGTTCTAAAACATGCATTCTAACACAAGAATACAAAGAAAGCATAAAAGCTTGAAAGAGACCAAACTCAATCTGAATTTTTCATTCATCAAATGTTGTTGTTTGAAAAGCAAATGTAATATCCCTATTTATAGTAATTGAAAAGACACAATGAAAAGACACAACCCTTGAAAAATACATAATAAATTAAATATGTGGATGAATATGGATTTTTAGATTCATGAAGTTTCTTGGATGACAAGATGTCTTTTCAAGCTTGAAGGATGCAACTCTTCACCAAGTGTGAACATCTTAGCTTGGAAGTGACCATTCAATCATTCTTGTAGTCTTTTAGCTCTAGCTCTTGTGATTGGATCTTGTGGCATAGTGATTGGCTCATGATTGGGTTGACTTTGAGCATAAGCTTCAGTTGAGCTAAGTTGAGCGTGCTCTTTTTGTAGGCTTTCTACTTGCACTCCGTGATCACTTATTTTTTATATCATTCTCCCCTTCTTCGGAAAGATTTGTCCTTGAATCTAAAGGTTCTCCTTGCCTGACAAATTTGAAGTCATGTGCATTCCATGGCTTTGTACTACTTGGATCCCTTTCCGCTTTGAATTTCTTGTCTTGGATATGGTAGGAAGTGAAGTTGGAATGATGCTTCTTGTGCAGCCTCTTGGACTCATATGTCCCATGTGAACGAAATTGGCTCTTTTTAAAAGCAACTTTTGAATTTTGCTTTTCAACAAGCAGTTTGACCTCCTGCAAGAATTCAAAAGAAAAACTTGGTACAATTGATTTAAGTACACCCATTAGAAAGCAAYTTCATTTGGTTACAAGCTCTTGTATATGTCGTTTTGAAAACAAAACAATACTAGCTTCAGAAACTCGTAACCAAACCCATATGGTCATCAACACTTTTCTCTCGTTTGTCACTTTTTTCACGGTCCTTTGTTTCTACTACTTTTGTCTCCACCTCTTTTTTAGAGCATAACTCATTTCAATCTTCGGTTGTCTTCTCATCAAACATAACAACCTCATCATTTGAATCTTCCTCTTGAGCATCATATATAACAATCTTATCATTTGAATCTTCCTCTTTGACATCATACATAACAACCTCAACATTGTTCGAATCATCCTTTTGGAGATTTGGATGTTCTCTCTCATTTTGAATTGATTTCTCATCCTCTTGAGGCTCGGGAAAATCTTCCTCTCTTTGAAAGAATTGTGCAGCTTGTCTCTCGTTTGCCTGGTCCCTCGATTTTAACTCTTGATTTAACTTGGAAATGTAATTCATGGATTTGCGCATTTTAGCAAAATTATCTCTCATATCCTTCCAAAATGGGCCCTCACTAATGTGACGATTCGCATGACGTCTTCGCCTTTCGTGAAACATTTTGACTCCAAATATCTCAAACTTTAGCAAGTCTTTATAGCATTCTTATGAGTATCATGCAAGAACAATTCAATATATCATAGAATGTGAAAAGTCACAAAATCTAAAATTTAGGAAACAAATGCAGAAACGTTTTCTAATAAGCAAAATGGAATGGAAAAGAAAGAGATATGAGTGAAATGGTGTGAATCAAAATAAGATGAAGAGTCACTTTTTTTCTTGCCTTGAAAGCAAACTTTTTTTTTCCAGCAAGTATGATAAAAGATGAATCAAGTTTGAGAAGATGAAGAGTCAAGCGAGATGAAATTATATGTAACGATTGGATAAACAAAGAAAGAAATATGAAGAACAAAGGAAACTGAATAAAATATAACCTGTTTAGGGCAAAAGCTCGGTTACCAAATGATAAAGGAATTAACTCAATTATGCATTAGAAATCCCTTATACAAGGTGAACCCCCACGACAATAATAAGAATAACCCCAATAACAAGATGATGAATCAACCCTAAGAAAGCTAAACAGATTTGTGCTTAGAAAAAATGATTAATGATCAAGAATAAAGGAGAACTTGTTCCTATATTAAAGATTTTGAACTCTCCACAACCTAATTGTTCAAACTAGATTGAAAGTTCTAAAACATGCATTCTAACACAAGAATACAAAGAAAGCTTAAAAGCTTGAGAGAGACTAAACTCAATCTGAATTTTTCATTCATCAAATGTTGTTTGTGTTGGGTACTCTGTCCTAAAACTCGCAGTTTGTAAATAGTGATCATTAATGTGAGGTTATTCAGACAAATGTTGTTAAATGAAAGTGAATTTGTTTTTTTAATAAATCCAATAAACTACGAACCATTGGCTATTATAATGAGTACTTGGACTTTATGTGGAGACATAAACTGGATCAAGTTCAAGTAAATAGCCTAAACAGTCTAT